TGGGGACATGCCTGGTTCACACACTCACATGGATACTAAAAGACATTATTTTTTCCATATTTTTTCCAATTTCTAGGATGGGTACAGATACTAGAGAAAACCCACATGAAGGAAAGTTTGAACAGTCACTCTTGACGGCAGTTCTGTTATTTCAAATAGGCTGTTAGTTGGAGCACTTTTATTTCCTCTGCATATAGTTCTCTAGCTGTAACAGCCATGCAATTTCAGGCTCCCAGTCAGAAAGAGAAAGAAGAAAGTAAAGAAGGAATGAAGAAGGTGGGAGAGGATAAAAACAGGTGCAGTGGAGACTGGAAGGGAATTTATCTTCATTTCATGTTAGTTGCCACCAGGGTTTGAGAAATGGGAAATTAACAAAAATAATAAAATATAATGAATGTCAGTCCAAGCCCATTACAAATCTTGACAGTAGCAATATATGTTCTTTCACATTTTGAGTGCTCTCATTCACGCTTTTGTTTCTCTCTCCCATTCAATCTTTTTCTCATACTCTTCTAAATAATTAGTGTGAAATAATTATCACCCTGTAAAGGATGTAGCAATATGTGTGCAGAGTTGATCTTGCAAAGCCAATAAGACATAAAATAAAATAAAAAATAAATAAATCCCAAACAGGTTTTTTATTTAACATAAGGCCAAAGAAGCTATCAGGCGTTGCTGAATACTGTCCACTAACTGTACAAAATATTGACTGCATGCCTCGCAAACAACAAAATATCCGCTGGAATGCCATAGAAATAAATAACTTCTGCTATAAACACATGGAAACATATCAAACTGTTATCTCTTTAAACATATTGTAAATAAAAAAATTACCAGTACTTCTACACAATAAATATTAAGAAACCATTGACATAGTTGAAATGCACTCATATAAATTAACAACTTTAATTACATTAGCCAAACAGACATTGGTTAAAAAAACTGCATGTAGTATGCAAAAAAAAAAAAAAAAAAAAAAAAAAAAACAGACAACATCAATCACAGAACATAAAAAGTTTTAAAACAAAACAGGCTTCAGATTATCTTGGCTTTCATAACTATATTTTTCTTTTAAAGAAAAATATCAACCCATTGTCAATGCACTGTTTTTCAAAGCATTTAAATAGAGGGTAAAACCCACTGGAAATTAATACAGAAGAAATGATTCACTTTATGCAATAAAAATAAATAATAATATAGCCGAGACACGTGGTTTGCTTCTGCTTTTGAAGATGTGAACAGCTTCTAAGCATTCATTTTCTCTGACCAACAACAGCTTCTCAGTGATAAAGGCTTTATTTAAAAACAACGTCCACCCCCAAACCTCTGCTCACATCTACAAATTTCATTTATTGTGCAGGTTTTCTGGGTGACTACGTTTTTCTCTTCATTGAAAGGGAAAATTGCCAAAAGGCCCACAGGAAATCATTATTTTCAAGCAAACATGATAATTTTAATATGACAGGTATTTGTGTGTTGTATTTTAGAGTCACCTCTTGAGGTCCAATCTCATGGGGGTGAAAAACAATTCACTTGCTCTATCTTGGAGGAGAATGTAGGCACTCTCCTTAAAAATGGAGTGTGGAATCAATCTTAAATAAACATGAAATTATTTGGTCTGAAGGGACAAGAAAATTCCAGCTCAGTTGCTGGAACTTGCATTACACTTTTGAAAAAAAGAAAATGTCAATCGAATCTACAAAATATATGTCATTTTAAAAGATATTTGGGGACAAATGCTTTTTAATCAATGCTTCTAAGATTGGTGCCGATAGATGACCCTAGGAAAGAGTAGAGACACCATGATCAGACAGGGCAACTCTGGTTTCAGAGAAAACGTACTGTAAAGAACTCTTTTGGTCTTACGCTGCTACATGAAAATGTGGTTGTTCACGAGATCCCATATATTCCAGAATTATTAAAGATAGCAATTTATAATTCTATTTCTACTTAATGAAATAAGGTTAAAGTTTGTAGATGTATAATAACTTCATCTACATGCATTTAAATTATTTAAATTAAATCACCCTATTAAAATAATGTCATATGGAATTTCATTTTGCTCTGCTTCTTTTACTATGGCCACTAATCAAACCCCATCTCCCCCAGTATGTTGAGGAATTAAAGGACTTAAAATGATGGCCTACATGAGCTAAATGGGGGTTACAAGTAGATATCAGCTGACCTTTTAACTTCTATGTTTCCATTGCCTAGGCCATTTTTGCTACTGTACAGTGAACAAGGACTTGTGTTCCCATGCTCTTTTCGTAAGTTCCAATATTAGTTTCAAATAAAAGACAATGCAAAAGGCCATCAGAGATTTTCCAGAAATTTGTTGAGTTGAACCTCATTGTCTACTCCTCTGAAAATGTTCCTCACCTACATCCACCTTCCCCACCTGCATGATTTCCTGGCCCATGGTTAAGAGTTAGGAAGTAAGTATTAATGTTGCATATTCTCTCTTCAATTAGAATCCACTCTTATGCAATGCATGTATTTCTTGCATAAGAAGACGTGGACTTTCAGAATTTATAAGTATATTTGCTCAGCAACGACATTAAAGTAATTTGCCTTCATGCAGCCTAGTGTCATACAGACAAGCGCTAAGTCACCTATTGTAATGTCTGGTTTCTCACCAATACTTTGTTTTCCTACCATTAACTTTTTAGGAAAACCATGAATTGACATAGACCTGAAAGTTTCAATATTGTACAAAACACTAATAAGTGTAATTTCCCCAATTTTTAGAACTTTTTTCAATTTTTGCAAACTTCAAACAAGTCAGTAAATGCAAGGCTATATTTTAAAAGGACATGAATGAATAACCTTGTAATGGCTCTAGACAAAATAATGCTTTGGGATCAATTAGCAAAAAATTTAGCTTTAAGCATGTACTTTGATATAGATAAAACAGTTTTCGTTTTTGCATTTGCATCAGCGCATACAATCTTATACATTGAGCGTTTTGGCTGCAAATTAAAATATTAGGAATTTTTTACTTTTGCCCACATCCCTGCTCGTAACTGATCCTTGTTCCCACACTCTGCTCTTAACACCGTCCCCCAATTATTTATCTTTTAATTAATGACAACATTATCTAGCCCAGCTATGCAAGTAACATTTCTCACAACCAGGCCTTAACAATTAGGAAGAAAATAAAAAAATATGCCAACCCTTATTCTGGCCCAATGATTATTTTTTCTGAAAACTGTTTCAATTTAAGATCGATTCCAATACCTAGAATACATAGTTAGTTGCCCAAAGCCTAGAGCTTTGATTAAGATGAGTTTCCTGCTTTCCAGGCAGGGACTAACGTGTGGTATGGGGGAGGGGCTCATAAAAAAGGAGGGAATTGGATCTCAGAACATTGAAAGAGGGTCTTAATGAATATCCACTGGAATATTTAGGCTTTCTCCCAGCCAAATTTTTGAAATGTGCCTACCAAATTCAGAGTAAAAGCAAAAACTATAGCCTATCCTTCTTAAAAATACTGTGTTTTGCACACAAACATTCATTGCTTTAAGAAAATTTTAAAATGACAGCCTGAAGTGCTTAAAATGCGTATGGACATGATTCGATACATGTATATATACACACAGATATGCATATGCACAAGCAATGTATATATACACATACAAGCATGGAGCGTTACATGAATTTGATTGAACGATATCCAACAGTGTGCAACTACTGTACATCCAGTATGAAATGTCCTGTTTCATGGATGTAAAAGGAGTCAAAACAAACTTCTCATGTCTTTTAAGCCTGAACACAAATCCACCCTATTCAACCTTGAATCTCAACCCCTGACTCATTGATGGTGAATGATATCAACCACAGACAGACTGTTTAAAGGCTCACACAAATGTCTTTGGTGTATGTGTCTATTTTTTAAGGTACAAAATAATAATAATAATAATAATTATAATAATAAAAATAGCTATTTTGTGTGCTGTAGCAGTTCTTTTATAGCTCACATTAAGTGCAGCTCTTAAACCCCTCCCACCCCCACCCAAAGAAAATACTTGTTAAATAAAGATTAGACAGGTCAAACACCATTGTAGTGCAAATAGTAAACAATAAAAAAAAACATTTACAAAATATAGAAATGTTTGGATCCAACAGATGGACAAACATATTCCTTTCAAGTATCTCTCCTTGAAGAAAATAAAAATTAATCAGGTTACTTCCAATACAAAAAAGTCTCTCTTTTTTTTCTCTCTCAGGTAAACAGTTTCAAACCTATTAGGTTGCATAGTTCTAAGATCATAAGCACCTTAACGAAATATAACTTGGTATTCTTTTTTCCTTGATCTTTCACTCTTCCCATTCTTGTTCTTAATTTTTATGTTGGTTTTTTTTGTTGTTTTGTTTTGCTGTGAAAGTGGTGCAGAAAAAGAAAGCGTGACCGTCTGCACAATATTGTTCTCTTACCAGTGTGTGCATGCATGTGGTATGTGGAAATGCCTGTGTGTGTGTGTGTAAATGTGCATGTTGCCTATGTGGTGTGGTGCATGTGGTGTGCGTGTCTGCGTGGTGTGTGTGTGTGTGTGTGTGTGCAGTGGGGGATGTAGGGTGTGTGTGCATGGGGGTGTAGGTGCGCGCACAGGCTGATATACACAGAGAGAGGTCCCACAGACATACCTTATGACCTGGGTAACTGGGTGGGAAAGTGCCTGTAACTGGCCCTTTCAAACTCATGGCTTTCTAGACGCTATTTGGGTTGTGCTAGCCTACATCTGCACAGACTAGACAAGTTGACTTTGAGGCTCACACTGAAAGTGACTGAAAAGGAGAGGACAATGCTCCCATCAAGCAACCTCAGCTGACACTATCATCACATCGATTTTGGAAGAAATGAAAGGTACATGGTTCTCCCTGTCCCTCCAAATTCCCGTCTCCTTCCATGCTTCATCTCTGAGCCCTGGCTAAGGAATGTTTTCACTTCTTCCTTCATCTGTCTCAGGTTTTGTTTTTAGTTTTTTTGTGGTTTTTTTTTTTTTTTAATTTCTAATTTTCTGGTTGTTTACTTCAGAAACCTTAAAAATCTCTTCATTTTGCCACTTTCTTCTCTGGACAACTCTGTTCCCTTCCCCGGGGCCAGGGAGCTCTATGAGCACCCACACTCCTCTACTATCATGTTCTGAATGTCCTTCTTGATGATGTTCTGCCCATCATCATAGTACAGCATGGACATGGGTCTCAGTTTGGTGGGCACACAGCATGACTTGAGGTTGGCGAAGGGGCTGTGGCCCCGCATGCGGTAGTGGTTGATGACCGTCGAGTGAAAGGAGAGGGAGGACCCCGACGTGCCTGCTATGTGGCTTGGGCACTCGCCCTCGCAGTAGTTGGCGTGGTAGCCAGAGGGGGCAATGATCCAGTCATTCCAGCCGATGTCCTTGAAACTGACATAGAATTGCTTCTTGCAGCAGATGTTGACCCTGCCGTCGCACTCCAGGCCGCGCCGCCGCCGCCGGTGAGGGTGGTCTTCCGACTGCCGCGCCTGCAGCATGAGGAAAGGTCTGTGGGACTGCTCCTTCTCCTCGTCTGCCCCTGCTCCTCCTTCTCCGTCCTTCTTGTCCTTCTTCTTGCCTTCACCCTCCTCTTCTTTCTTCTTTTTCTTGCCCAGGAGTACAAGGCTGGCGCCGGTCTCGTGGCACTGCTCACAGGCAATCCGAATGTCCAGGGAGCTTTTGCCCTGGTCCAGCAATCGCTGGATGCTGCTGGAGACGGGGAAGATGTGCCACGTGCTCTTCCTAGCGTCCACCACCTTTTCTGATATCAACTGCTCACTCCTCTCCCCCGTGAGTCCCTCCTCTGCCTCCTCGCCTGCGTCCAAGCCGCCCTGGGGCCGCTTCTGCTGCTGAAAGAGATTGATGGTGACTTTGGTCCTGTTTCTGTTGGCCTTGGGGACTTTCAGGAAGAGCCAGACTTCTGCGCGCTCCACCACCGACAGGTCACTGCCTTCTTTGGAAATCTCAAAGTGCAGCGTCTTCTTGGCTGTGCCTGAAGAAGAAACACAGCACAAGAGAAAAATAGGGAAACTCATTAGTCCCACGTTTGTGCCGACTTTCAGGCAAGCATGGTCCTGGTTACAAGCCATCTCCACAGGCTGTCAGTAAATTCTGACCCACGGGTTCTAAGGATAGTTTTGACATTTTTCTTTTTCTTTTTAAATAACTTTTTTTAAGATTTATTTATTCATGCATATAAGAACCGGGGTACAGGCCAAATAAATGTATGCATTTATTTATTCATGCATACAAGAACCAGGGTACAGGGAGGCGAGAATATTCACCAGAGACAAAGCAGGGAACAGAACAGGCAGACTGACTGAAATACATTGCTGAGGGGAGCAGCGGGTGAGGCAGGAGAGGTCTGCCGTGCCATGTGGGAATCTCCCCAGCCAGCGGGGATGGAACCGGCTATAGACAGCTTCACAGCACTGTGCTCCACCGCCTGCACCACCAGGGGAGGCCCCGGTTTTTGGCATTTTTCAATGGTGGGAGAAAAATAGCATTTTGTGACATGTGATAATTATATGAAATTTAAACTTAAGGGCCCAAAAGTAAAGGTTTTTTGACTACAACCAGCTTATTCCTTGACAGGCAGCATCTACCGGCTTGCGTGCTATGACACTGCTTGAACAGTGGCGTGAACAGAGACCCTCTGTCCCACAAAGCTTAAATATTTACTCTCTGGCCTTTTACAGAAAAAGTTTGGCAATCTTGCTCTAGAAAGTACAGGGCCGAGGTCTCAGTGTGACGGGGGCTTTGGGGATCTGGGTTAGCTGACTCATTGCTTAATCTCAATTTTCATCTCCTATAAAATGGAAATGACATGAGATTTGACCTACTACTGCACAGGTTTGGAAGCATCAAATGGGATAACATAGACACAAACACACTGTAAACTACAGCAAGCCGTGGAAACACCATTACTCCCGCACGAACAAGCAAATAGCGGTCTCCGCCTATCTCTGTGGCATGGACCCACAGCCCAGTCTCTCCCTGCCACAACCTGCTTCACTCCCCCTTTATTTTTATAATGGGTCACTGCAACAGCCTTTTCTTTCCCTTGCCTCTCCAGCACAGAGCCAGACCGCTCTCAATCATTTCTCCACTGAGCAGATAGAAGAATCTTTCCCAAAGGCAGATCTAATCAGGAGGCACATTCTTGAAAGCCCTCTGCTGATTTCCTATTACTCTCAGAATAAACCAGAAAGTGCCTATGACTGAGCTGTGATAGTGCTGCTGCTACCTTCACCCCAGCTCTTGGCTTCATGGCAGTTCTCAGCTCTCACAGCGGTCCCTGGCTCGAGTGGTCTGGATCCAGGGGCTTACTTGAAGCCTTGGTCATCCTTGCACTCTCTCACCTCCAAGAAGTAAAACGAGCTGCTCCTTTGGCCCAGATCATGCCTGCTCCCAACGCAGAGCCCCCAGTTTTCAGATCAGAAGACAGATCCTCTTGAAACTTGTCCTGACATCTCCACCAGCACCCCCATCAGTTCTATTTAAGCAGCCCCCGACTTGTGGTTCTGCTTATCTCCATCATTGCCATCAATCCCAAGTTTAGCAAAAAGGAGGCAACTACTTGCTAACTTAAGAACAACTGGAGGCACCCTTAACCTGGGTTATATTTGATTAAGAGCACTCCCTCCTGCCTCAGAACCCACCTTTTTGGTTCCTTCCTTGTTTTAAAGATTTATTTATGCATACAAGAACTGGGGTACAGGCCAGAGGTACGGTGGTGGGGGTTGAGAGGATTCACCAGAGGCAGAATGGGGAACAGGACAGGCGGATTGACTGAAATACGCTGCTGAGGGGAGCAGTGGGTGAGACAGGTCTGCTGCACCATGTGGGTTTCTCCCTGACCGGGGAGCAAACTTGTGCTGCAGTGGCTACAGGTAGCTTCACAGTGCTGAGATTTAACTCCTTGTGCCACCAGGCAGGCTCCTCCTCCCTTTTGGAATGCAGCTTAGTAAGCACTAACTAGAGCAACCCTTACTGCCAAAGAGGAAATCCCCACTCCGGCATCAAATTGGATTCCGTGACCAGCCAGTTCTAACCTAAGTCTAAAATCAGAAAATCATTTATTTCCATCTCTTTCCATATGCACCTCACCTATATGTTTCTTCACACAACATTAATTAAGAAGCAGAGGCCCAGGGCCTCCCCGGTGGCACAGCGGGTTGAGCACAGTGCTGTGAAGCTGTCCGCAGCCTCTGCAGCGCGGTTCAAATCTCGCTGGCCTGGCGGAAACCCATGTAGCACAGCAGACCTCTCCTGCCTCGCCCGCTGCTCCCCTCAGCAGTGTCTTTGGTCTGTCTGCCTGTTCTGTTCCCAGCTCTGTCTCTGGTGAATCCTCTCACTCTCCCGCACATCTGGCCTGTACCCCAGTTCTTGTATAAATAAATAAATCCTAAAAAAAAAAACAAAACAGGGGCCCAAACTAGAATTCTTGAACTAATCATTTTCCCTCATTTCTGCTTTTACCATGTGGTGACTGGTAGATGAAACACCCTCTTTTCACCACCACTCCCTGCATGTACCTGCTTACAACTATCCAGCACGTGCACAAATCTGAAAATATTCTTAAAGAAGTTTATCTTAGAATTTGCAACTCCCTAGGAGGGTCTCCCTGCCTGGATTTCTATAGCTAACGGAAATCCAGCCATACTTATCACTCTCAGCCCCGAGATGTTTACGGTACTATAAATTTTAGGCACAGTTTCAACTGCTCTGCAGCAGAAGGCAGGCTTTTCTGTGCATTGCACACTGAAGATTCTGTTCTTAATTTAACACACTGAACACTGTGATTATGATAGTGGTAAATTCACTAAGGCCAGGGCCAAAAAGGGCTGACATGTATAGGCTCTCTGGCATCTTTGTGTAAACTTGCTAGGACCGGGCTGAGTCAGTGGTGGCAGTGGCTGTGGTGGTGTGGTGCGGTTGTAAAGGAAGTGCCTTTGCTTTGACTTCCATCTCTGACAGAATTGAAATGAATAATAAAGCTGGGTTTATGATTAGATCATCAGAGTGGGAAGCAGTAAGAGGGGGAAAGTAGCTTTTTGGTTTTTGGAAGTATGATGACTTTTTTCCAAAATGTGTACCCCAAATTCCCCTAGGCTGTGAAGTAGTGGATTTTGTTGATGATTTTTAAGAAAACTGAAGAGAAGATTCCAGGAAGAAGAGTTTAATCCTTTAAATCTACAATGACTATCTGCAGATTTTTAAGGTGGTGGGACCAAAGAAAAAAGATGCAGGAAGCCACCCAAGTCTCCACTCAGCAGCCTGGAGGAGCAGGCAGGCTCCCTGCACTCAGGCACATCCGCCCTGCCCCACAGAGAATGTTAACAAGCTACCTGCTGTTCTCCCTTCTGCCTCTTTGCTGGCCAGCTTCTGAAACCCTAAGCCGCACAGGGTGCCACTCTCAAGACAGAGATAGTAGCTGCTAAATTAGAGAAGCCAGAGGGCACAGGGTTGTGTTTTGTTTTTCTAGGAAAGGGTGTGAAACAGGAGAAGCTGCCTGGCTACCAGGCTCTGAGAGCTCTCTGGGTTTCAGGTAACTCATTCCCACAGGCTGTGTAGGCTTTTACCCACACTAACAGGAGGGGTCAGGGTGAGGTAGGTGCACGGTCCTCGGGTGAGGAGATTCCAGAGGCAGTGCCCACAGGACAGCACACACTGGGCTCCTATGAATCAAGTGCAGAGAAGCACACAGATGCTGGAGGAGAGGGGGGTTGTTCCACCAAGTTAGCCAGGTGACAGCACAGGCAAGTGGCCTTGGAAGAGCCAGCCAGGCCGAGGTCCTCGGCTTCCAGGAACAGCCTACAGGACAGCCCCTCATTTCCCTAGAGCAGGTTTCTAAAGCATGATGTAGCCCCACCCTCCTTCACGGGCAGCTGTACTTGGAAGCAAATGATTTAGTGTTCCTGAGAGAGGATTGTACAAAGAGAGTGCTCATTAGAGGGGGCTCAATCTGTCAGGTGCTGTTATATTAGGATCAGAGAGTCATCATAAAATGACTTTCATCCTGGTCCTGGCTGATAATTAACTGTATGGCATCGCCTGCTTATCGCGGTGCAGTGCGGCGCTGATTTATGCATCCATTTAATTATCTAAGCTGAAAGACTCTGTTCCCTGTGCCCGCATCCATTGCCTGCCTGCTACATTTCTCCCCCATATTTCTGACATTTGGATTTTCCCCCTACTAATTGACATGCCTGTCGCCTCCTTCTCCTGGTGTCCATTTCTGGAACTGCTATTTGTATATTGCATGATAATTTATCAAGAAAAAAATAAAACTGAGATCCAATTTCATGAAAATGCTGTTGCCATAAAGCTCAGGAGGACAGGGGGAAGAAAGAGATTCAAGTCTTCCTAATGTCTACCTTATATGCAGGTACATTTTAAAAGTTCTATTGTATTATGACTTAATAAGCAGTGCATATTCTTTTCTTTTACATTGAGCTTTCATTGCAGAAGGGGGTGGGGAGAACGAGACAGCCAGAAACTGAGATGAGATTAATATTTATCAGGGAGGGCTGTAGGTTTCAAAAGGATATTACAACCCTCAAATTTCTTGGGTATGAAAAAATATAACTAGTCACTTGATTATATTCCCTTTATCTGTATTTTGCCTGAGATCTGATTGCTATACTGCAGTGATGCTTTCAGGATGTTCTAATCTTAAATCTCTAAGAAAAGAAGGTTGCCTAAGGCTGAAGTGTTTGGATCAATTACTAATCAGTTTCAGACTTGACTTAAAAATCTCCTGCTCTAAAATCCTGAAATGGAAGCCTTCCCATGATGCTCTGTGAGCAGGTACAGCATAGTTTATACAGGTGCGCACTGAGTGCCTACACTGTTACCTAGCTAACTAGATATAGCGGGAGGCTTTGCTAACCTTTCGTTACCTACTCTCTGACGATATTTTTTTTTTCATCTTTTGTGCTATTTTTTTCCTTCCCAAGCCTTGTGAGCAAGGCTTGTATCACAGCCTGC